CCGAGGGTCCATTTTTTCTCACTTGTCAGCATGACAAAGACAAAAACTGAAACAGCTTGTGTGGGAGCAAGAGCTGTGTAAAATGGCAAGAGGCAACATGTCTTTCTCACTACAGCTCAGCTTTTCAGATTTACTTCATCCATGCCATTTCCCTGACTCCTCTACTCTGCTCTTCAGTAGTACCAGTGTAACTAATACCCCTTTCCTGGAGGCTATGTTGGTACTTCAGAGAATGGGCTATTAGTCACTTTTAGTGATAAGCTTGCTTTTATAGCACAGTGAGAAAGAGCACGAAGTAGCAAGGAAACAGCCCTGAAGTCAGGAGAAAGAGAGCTTTGAATTGCATTCTGTTGTAATGGAGGCCTCTGGCATGTGCATGACTGGCATGTTTTGTCACTCTCAGCTTGGAGAAGTGAGAACTGCAGGCTAACATTAAGAAAAATAAGTCTGAATTAATGGACAGCAGAGCAAATTATTATAAGGCTTTTTACAAGGAACTTGTAGTCCAAACCTTATTTTTTTAAAAATAATGGAGGCATTTGGGAATACTGACTATTAAGCAGACTTGGGATACACCTAAACTGCAGACTGTACCAGGCTGAAGCAGAATGAGCTTTGTCAGTGCCCTCAACAGAGTGCTGACCACCCGAGAGCAGGGGGAAGGGGATGTGGGCAGTGGGGAAGGTGTCTAACCTGCCCTAGGTCTCTCTGCACCATAGCGACTGCTGCTGCAGCTGAGAAGCTCACCGCATGCCAGCTGCAGCAGGGGGCACCAGAATGGCCCCCTCCCCGCCCCGGGAGTCTTTGTTGTGGCTGGCACAGCCCAGTCACAAAAGCCAGACACAGCCTCATGCCCAGTCATATATGTGGAGGAGGCATCAAGAAGAATGGTGTCTACCCCCCTCAGGTTTTTTGCCATGGGAGGTGCAGCTCCTCACCCCAAGTCAACGGCCAGGGTGCATGCCCTGCTCGCCCATACCAGTTACACTACTGACACCAACAGTCTACTGCAGTGAGCACATATACGCAAGCTAACTTTAAATAAGCTAGTTCAGGTACCAGAAGCAGTCTACTCATAACAACACAGCTCCGTGTGAGTTAACTGAACCTGCTTCTTGGCACACATATGACAGGGTAGAGGAGCTCTACCTGGAACACCTGTCCTTCTTGCCAAGGTAAATGAGCCCCTGTTGAGCTCTGTGTTGCTGCATTAAAGCTGCCTCATGGTCTCAGGGGTACAGGTTGTAGCTGTGTTGGTCTAAGGACATAGCCAGACAAGGTTCTTTGAGTAAATCTGCTATCTTTTATTACACTACCTAAACTAGTTGGAAAAATTATTTCCAGCTAGTTTAGGTGGTCTAATAAAAGATAATAATAGAAAGAAGTTTTCCAATTAGTTTAGCTGGTATAATAAAAGATAATCAGATTTACCCAAAGAACCTTGTCTACCTCATGGTCTCCATTCTATGCTGCAGTGCTCTTCCACTCTAAGTCTGTGGTCTCCAACCTTTCTAAGTAGGAGATCAGATCACCTTTGGCATTTAAAAGCCACTCAAGATCCACCATGAGCTGCCACCTGCCCCCCCACCTAGCAGGTAAGTCTGTGGGGAGGGAAGAGGGAGGCAGATCAAGGCAGAGGGAGAAAAAATTATTTGGGGGCGTGCCTCCCCAGCAGGTAAGTCTGTTCCCACCCCTTCCCTCCTCATGCGCTGACCTGCTGGGCTGGGGGTAAGGCGCATGTGTGCATGCACCCGGGCACTCATCCTCCCACTGCAGCCTCAGATTGACTCCAAGAGGTTCCAAGATCTACTGGTAGATCAAGATCCACTGGTTGGTGACCACTGCTCTAAGTGCTTCAAAGAACTGACATAGGCTCCTAAATCAGTTAGGTGTTTTTGAAACATGGATCCCAGTGTGCAGATCTAACTGCTGGCTGACCCCAATTTAATGAAGTCCATTTTAAATCACTTAAACTGGTCCTAGTTCCTAACGGATGCATGTTTCAATCAGCCTTAAGCCATTCAAATCAATCAGAAACTAATTTGGTAATTTACTAACACGAGGGATTAAACAGTTTAAAGGTATCTACTCTACACGATTTCACTGGTTTAACTGGAATGAAAAATAACTTATTGAAACAGGTAAAACTTTTCTAGTATAGCAAGCCCACAGCCTTATTCACAACAATGTTTCTTCCTTTGTAAACAACAAAGCCAAGCTGAAAATGATATGACAGTGGATACCACGTTCGTTCTAGCATTGAATTACTGGAACATCGCACGATATTCAATAAAGTAATCAGGAGTAAAGAAAGAAAAGTCTCTTCTCCTTGATTTAACTGATCTTCTTTCGGTAAGGAGGAACCTCTGGGGTTAGGCAATATTACTGTGAATGGGTCTAGACTTTACACAGGCATGGGTCACTAATTTAATTAGATTTCAAATAAACTATTCTACATTTACACTGAATACAATACTTCCTGTGCCCTCCCTCACACTAACAAGAATAAAACAATCCCACAGAAGTTTACACTTCAATGCTTGAGGAAGCAATAACAAAGTCAGTATACATACAATAACTTTAGTCACAGACTGGTTTCATATTGTGGAGGTCATTAGTGAGACCTTAACTACTTGACAAACTGCCATGCTAGGCAAACAAAACAATAATTAATCTTGCTCTCGTTAGACAGCTGGGTTTCCACATAGCACAACTTGCTCACAAAAAGTGGCAACTGTATCAGAATCAATATTTTTGGCAATACAATTAAACTCAACAACTTTGTAAAACAATAAAAATGAATTTCAGTCTACTGAGACTGAATCAACATAGCTTCTTAGCCTCTTGAAGGCTCAGATCAAGTGTATTTTCTTAGTCTATGTAAATTAATGTTTTGTTTTGTTTTCTTTTTTACCATTATCACTCTCAGAATATTTGGTCTTCCAAGCTCTCCTTCCAATCCACAAGAGGGCAAAAAGTTTATTACACATTGTTATCATTTTGGTAATGACAGTTTTCTACTATCCGTATTATCTTCCCTCCCCCTCTTCAAAACCACTGCTATCTTCATCTGATTTAGGTCTGCAGCTTCATGGATTAGCTGGCTGGTGAAGCAGGGTGCTGCATTTGCTAGAAAACATCCTAATACATTGGCTAAGTACAGACAGTCAAAAAGCCCAAGGCTTAATTGATCTAATCTACCCAGGTTTCTAAGGCTTTGCTGCCTCAGCTGTGTGACAGCCCAGGGTTGGGGCTGCCTGGCTCAGTTGAAGCAGAGGAGATGGGGTGGAAGCAAACACACCCTGAGAAGGGGGGATAACATGGGGCCACAATACATCCTGGGAGGCCAGGGGACTGCGACCTAACTTGCTTCAGGAGGGGACCTAGAACAGATATTCAATAGACCAGTCTAACCTAAAGTGATTCAATCTGATATTAAATCCATCCAGGTCTATTTTAAACCAGATTCCGCCATTTTGAAACCAGTCTATGTACAATAAACTTCTGTTCTGTTACAGGTTTAGACCAGTTCCAGATCACGTATACCAGTTTATGGGTAACTTCTGTCCCTTGTCACAGTTTCTCTTCAAGTAGCCCAAAGAACTGGCTGGATGTGGTAATAATTTTATTGGGAATTAAACCATGTATACATGGTAGGATCGTTTACCTCTGCTTATATTACTTACAACCACACTACACAAACTATAAAGGATGCTGCTGGCCTAAGCAAGCTCACATCTGTAGGGTTACCCATACCTTGGCAGCACAGAGGAAAACCCGGTGAAGTCACCATAAGTAAGCAAGAAAGCAAGCCTCATGTTTACTACTGATATCCAGACTCAAATTTTAGTAATCTGAAGCAGAATAAAATCTAGACTAGATCTAAATTAGCTAAAAAGAAAGTCATTATCCTTTTGTAGTCCTTATGGGGGGGCGGAAATCAAGACCAGCTTGAACCTTATGTAAAATTACAGGAGCAGTCAGTGTGCAATCGAAGTCCACTTTTGGATCTACTGGATGAATCCAACACTAAAGGAGCTGTCTCTCTTACTCACACTACAGCTCTCCTGTTGAGGAGGGCTCCAGTCCTGCCTTTTTGCATGCTAGTCAAATGTCAGCATTTTCCAAGAAGCAACAGCAGAGCAGGTATGAGGGAAAATGCTGGCACGATCACTGTTCATAAAGAAAGGACTCCTGGCAGATGCTTGGCTTGGCCAGTACCAAATATGTGTGTTTATGCTACCTGAAAAAATTAAACAATAACTGTAGTGTAACAGATTTTGTAAAACCACGGTGTGTAGCCATAATAGTGTACGAATGAAATGCCCTGTTGGCATCCTTTCCACCCAGGCCTCTACTGACAAAATACCACCACCCATCCTTTTCACAAGCCTTGGAAGAGTCAAGCAACAGTGCAGTTATACCCATCTCTATGAGGCAGTATATATGGAAGGACAACAGCTACTAGGATACAGGCTTGTTTTTTTCAGAAGGGAATGCAAGAAGCTCCAAATCTCTCACATGAGCTAGAAGTCATTGTATAGAGTAACAGAGAGAAATACAGAATATGAACAAGCAGAATGCCAGCCATCTATTTCTTATTCTGGTCTCCATTACTGGACTACAATATTTTCATTCCCATCATAAGATACAATACTGGACTACAATATTTTCATTCCTATCATAAGATACAATGTCATAAAAATAAAGCCAGTTAAGACAATGTAAGAAATACTATGCAAGTTTGGTGAAATAATATTGAAACATAGTTAAAGCTAAGACATGAGCTCAGGAAAATGTTTTGATTGCTAGTTTAGGGGTGTGTTGTGATGCCAGATCAGAACCCTGTATCTCTGTATGCCCTGTTACCATGAAGGGGTCAGAGAGACAGGGATGCGAAGCTGAATCGTATGTACTTCTTGCTTTATGTCTAAAGCATTCTACCTGCTGCCCTGCACTCTCCAAATTCATTCCCACAATGCTCTGCTTTTTTCTCTGCCTACAGATTACCAGACCTGGTGAAAACCAAACAGGATGATGCATCAAAAAAAGAGTAGGGGAAGGGAGAGGTGAGAAGACAGAATACAGAAAACAGAGAAAATAAAGAAAATCCCATGATGAAAATGTGAACTAGAGCCAGGGGGAGAAATGAATCATTTTTTTCAGAAAAAAGCTTCTGCTACCCACAGACAACACATGTTGATTCAATGAGAGCAAACTCAGGCATTAAGTAATGATAGGACTGACAGGAAGATCCTCAGTGTGCCTAACAACTAAGCCAGATTTTAATTTACCAGTTTAGGCAGAAAACCTGAAAATAAAACTGGTGTTATTATTCCCATCTCTATACACATAAAATGCAGCTCTACTCTGAAAAGTGACAACATGAAATACCACCTGCTTACTAAACAGGACTGCTCCCTGAAGATATTCAGAGTCACGTCCATTTATTGTAATGACAACAAAATTTTACTGCTTTTTGTTTGCTTTCCCTATAGGGATAACCCAGCCAAAAGATGGTTTTTGTTTCATCAGTAAAAGAGTTTATTAAATTCCTATCCGTGACACTTTATTAAAGCACTACTACTGAAGGCATGTGGGTATGCAGAGATATTAAGTGAGCACCTACTTGTAACAAAGCATAAGAAAGAACGGACCTAGACTGATTTCAACCTTGAAGAGTCCATTGGCAAGGCTGGCACATGGAAGAAAAAATACCTTTTTATTCAGAAAGTGGGCATATTTCATTTTGAAATTACCATAAGATGGCTATCACAGGATCTCATAAGGCAAGTAATGACAATAAACAAGACCCACACTTTAACCAAAATTGCATTACTTCAGATTTAAAATAAAATGGGAAGATTATCAATTCCCTGTAAATTTACTTCAATATATGACTCAAAAAGAATATTTGTCCTCTACCATCAGAAGCAAGGGTTTTCAACCCTTTTAAATAAATGTACCCCTTCTGTCTCAGAGTTTCACCTCCTGTACCCCTTTATATTTTTTTCTTGTTTTTAAGGGGGGGGAGGGAGGGGGGCAGATTGAGGCTCTGCGGTGAGGGAGTGGGGCAGGGGCAGGTGCTGCTTAGCCAGAGTGGGGCATGGGACAGAGCTGCAAGCGGATCATTCAAGAGGTGTGGGGATGGGAGGGGTGGCTCTCCCTGCTGCACATGCCCTGGGAGGGCCTGGGAGGCACATGCCCCAGATCTGTGTGCAGAGGGCAGGCAGGCTGCTGCTGCAGGCTGGGGTGCTGGGCTCTTCCCAGCAGGGGCTGGGCTGGGCTGTGCTCAAGGTAGGCGGTGGCGCTGAGAGGGGGCTATGGGAGGGGCTGCAACCACCCCAAAATTCACTGTAGTTCCCCCAACCCTCCCTTCCCAGCACATCCCAGCTCAGCCCTGGCTGGGAATAGCCTAGCGCTGCCCAGGCCCCAGCCTGACCAACCTGCAGCCTACCGGACCCTGCATGCACCCTCCCCATGCCCTGCCAGGGTGCATGTACCCCCACAGCACCCACTGAACAAGCTGCTTGTGGCTCTGTCCCACACTCTGCCCAGCTGTGCAGCACCGGCCCCTGCTCCAGCACCAGCCCCACTCCCTCTCTCACCACA